TTATGTATACTATGCTAGATCATACTGCATACACTTAAGCAGTGCACATGAAGTATATGTATTTGAGTACATTCTATGTTATAGTATGCTTTGCTATGTCATATTGCATACACCTTAATAAGTCAAGAGGAACTTATAAGAATAATTATCAGTTGAGTGCCGTACCAGCCTCCACAAGGGAGGTATGCTCCACAAGGGAGAAACAGAAAATAACAATAATGTCCTCCGACTCAAGGGAGGCATTCAAGTTATAATCACGGTGTCGTGGGGGACCTTGCAAACCCTCACGTTCCGATGATTGCGCGCAAGTGGTACGCGAGCACTCGGGCCCATCAGTAAGAAAGATAAGATAAGATAATAAGATTATGATAAGACATCATAATTAAGCATAATCAGCTCATGCATATTTATTCATGTGTACTTACAGTTATTTTGTGAGATATAGTTCCTACTTGCTGAGCGAAAGCTCAATCAGATATGTTCATGCTGTAGGTAAGAAACCTATCAGCAATTCTTGAAGGGCAATGGCAAGCGGCGGATGAATGGTGGAGATGGGAATGGATACCGCTCACGCAGTTATCTTCCGCAGTAAGTTTAAGAAAAATCATGTATATGTATATATGATTTAAAGGTTTCAAGCATGTATGTTTAAAAAGTATAGGTACATATGTATGTTAAGGAAACCGAGGTTGTAGCTAACAACCCTCGTTTTGAGTATTTAAGTTTTAGAACGTTGCAACAGAGCATGCAACAAATAAATAAATTTTTAACATGACGATTTAAATGATTGATTTTAAAAGGGCTTTAAGATGTACTTGAATTTAAGATTTCTCACGAAATCCGTTTTAAAGTCAAAATTAAATGGCCCGATTGAATTGGCTAGTTTTAGAAAGACTTTTTAAGAGCATTTGAAATAAGAGTTCAAATGCTGCTCTGTTTGAAAGATATTTTTAGAACGTTTTATCTTAACTGAAATTAAGAAAAGCTTTAAGAAATTTAGTGATTCACTTATTTGAAATTATTGTTACAAATTATGAAAGTATTCTTTCTTATATTAAAAAAAAAATGTTCTGCAAATTTTAAGAAACCCCAGTAAGTACACAAGTTAAAGTAAGTTACAGTGGCGGCCTCATAGGAGGGGCGTCACACTTGACCCATTTTCAAGTGTTTTCTTCTGAGTTGATGTTAGATTGCTATTCTGAGTTGGTACCTAACATTTACAACCTTCGACGAGCCTGAATCATTGAGCTTGACCAAGACAAATGAACTTACAACCCTCGACGAGCCTGACTGAGATAGATGAAATTACATATTCATCATGTGATCGCTGCTAATTATTTTCTTCCAGCAATGGATGAACGGTACCCAATTATCTTCTTTTTTTTTTCTAATGTGGAAGATCTCTAAATATGAGATTTAATTTTTATGCTTTTTTTTTTTTTTTAAGATTTATGCTGTTAGAAAAAGAGAGCAATGCATGACAAATTAGAAGTTTCAAACTTTCCAATGTTCAACAAGGCAAAAAATTTACTTGCCAAAAATGAACAAGGATACCATTAAGAATGAATTTTCTCACACAAGTGGAACTTTAGCTGTTTATGTTTATTTTCTCATATTTCTGTTTCTACATCACCTACTACTGTGTAGAAGAAGCATGGTAATTTTTAAAGGTTTCTGAAGTTCCTAAGTTGTTAATATCTGATGCTGGTTTTGTTGTAGTTAAGAATGCTAGCCGCTTCTTTAATGTTGTAATCATATAGTTCTTATAATTATTTCAGAGAGAATGTTGATGCCCATGTATTGCAGACTAATATGCTTCAATATTTATTTTACAAGTCCATTCATTTCTATTGTTTTATATGCACTAAAATGAGAAGTACTTAACATTGCTTTATTTGTTGTCAGACAAACTCAATTTTGAGGAGTATTGCATTGGGAGACTTGCCTCAAGATATCAAAACTGGTTTTGCAAAAAAGAATATCAGAACACGTAAACACGAAATAACGTTTTATGATTTTGTTTCAACTTTCTCTCTATGGAAACATTAGGAAGCAAGTGAATTGATCTTTTGCGTCCATGAAAGGCTATACT